AGACTTGGCACAGAAAGCTGATGAGAATATCCGGCGATTCCTCATGATCCCTATGATGGATATGTACTTTCGAAACGATCTTGGCCGAATCAGAGCTATTCGAGATTCAAATCGAATCTGAATCGCAGTCGCTTCCGAATGGCGAATCTTAGTGGGATCACAAATCTCCTCATAATTTTGTACCGAATCACAAAAAATTTGGAATTTATTTGAGACTAAACGAGTCATAATCGCATTGAAGTCGTCGAATTGCTAATCGAATAGGATCGCCTCTTTTTTTTTAACCCTTTCAGACCTGGCGTCCATTCCAATGGACATTGCATTTACATTGCATCTATGGCAATTTCTTAGGATTCTCGTGACTTTGCGCTCCATATTACGCCATAATGGGCGCAATTATGCATGGCTCAGTTCTATCAGAGGCCTTCTTTCACCCATTAGTTTTGTAATCTTCATTTATTTAATTAAATGTTTAATATATAATATATTGTATGATGTGGTAAATTTATATTTAAAAATATGAAAACTAAAAATATAAGCATGAAAATTTCAATTACAATCACGAAAAAGCTAAAAAATGCTAAAAAGGATATTATTCTGATAGCGGCCCTAATTCAGGTCTGAAAGGGTTAAGGAATCCTCTTCGGTCACTTATGTGCCCCTGGAAAGGCAGAAGGCTCATTAGGACACCTGAATGGAAAGAGCAGATCCTGGCGCATGCAGCACTTTAGTAGGACAGACAGATTCCTAATCGCGTTTTCTGTTTCATGCGAGTGGAATCCAACATGAGAATACCTGTAAGCATATGATATAGCTGGGATTATAATAGGGTTCGATAATGTTACCAGAGAAAGAATAGATTCTTTATTTTTTCAATTTCGCCCTCAATTTCGAATCTCACATTTTAGGGTGGATTTTGAACAGAGAACTATCCGATAATGCAGCTTTATTTACCGGATTTACAATGCATTTTCTCTGAAATAAAGCAGCATTATCGGATAATGCTCTGTTCAAAAATCCACCCTTAGTGTTGATTCGAATTTGACTCGAACAACTCGTGTTGGGCCGTTCCTAAAAAACGGGGTACATTATGTGTTCCAAGGAAGGTGATTTACATCATTTCATTTGGAATCCACCAATCCATGTCGACATTCTTCGCATGATTCATTCTATACTGCGGACGGACCAGTTGTACTGTACGGTACATTTCACCAAGGATACACTTGAATGCATTTACTCCCGGACTACGTACTGTGCAGCTGGTCGCGTGCATTTTTCCCCCCAGGAGGAAAAATTGAGGTAATGTTGATGATCGAGCTGGATGAGGAGAGTATCGACCGAGAGATCAAGAGGCTGCTGGCCAGGATCGTTTAATGAATGGGCACAGGTGTAGGGGTGAACAATGCAATCCCACTTCAATCTTTCTCCTCCCCGTTGCATTAGCTAGAGACTGTTCTTTTATTCAGAGCTCAATTACTTGCTTTTCCTCTGGATCGATGACTCGGCGCATATATGCGTGATGGACTGAAACCTCTGCAGCACCCTCGTTCACAACTTTTCACCCGCCGATAACTTATTCATCCCTAATGCCGGTTCCCCTCCTGCAACATGAATGCTCTACCCCTCAGGATTAATATACTATGGAAACTCTGGAATCCTGCTCTTTTATGCGGTGCCATGGGCTGCCAGGGAATCCAATGGGTTGAGCCTTCATAGATGCTGTGCAGGTGAGAAAAATAAATGGAAGATGAATTCGCGACGAAAGTGGAACGTCGGTTAGAAAAAAAAGGGAGGGGGAGAAAATCTGTGCATGCCGCCAATAAAAAGAGTGTGCCACTAAGAGAATACAATGTACACCATGTGCCATGGTTCTATTTGCAGGTCTTGGGCTTCTCAGGGCTGGCTATCCTCTTCTCCCCAATCATTTCGGGTAAGCTCGAAACTCCGCATCTCGTGTGAATGAGCAGTACAAGCACTCGCTATCATGTTCATAAATTCGTTTGATGAGTCATTGCAGGAAGTAGCCTGCACTCATGATCTATATATTCCCGTGAAAGTGGACCGAGTGTCCGGATATATATATGGCCAATGGAGGGATGGGGGCGATTGCATCTCTTATACATAATTGAATGGTCAGGCCGTAGAGTGCAGTCCCCAATTAATCTTTACCTTCTGCTTACTCACCTCCCGACTCCCTTTCTGCTTTATGAATAATTCTCCACTTCCCCTCTCCCCATATGTGCAATGTTCTACCTTGTCATCTGCTTCAGCAGACAGGCCTGGCACGCCATCTTCTAAATATTTCACATATCTCTGCATCTTTCTTGCTGAAGCGGAGAGGGTCGTCCGATCGCATCGGTTCCCGATTTACCATAGAAAGTTATAGAAAAGAAGGGACCGGAAGTGATCGGTATTACCAATCTTCGTGGGATCTGTAGAGCTGAGGTCGAAGAAAATATCTCGACCGACTACCAGGGTCCCGACTAGTTTCTGCGTCACAGTGAATCAATTGGTTCACCTTTATTTTCTAATTCGTTTGAGGCGTCCAGGCAAAGCGATTATAAAATATTTTCTGGACCGAAATTCGCTATTTTTGGAATAGCAGGCGCGCAAAAAGGACTGATATTTATTGCCTTTTTCTCAAATTTATCATATTTCCCTCCGATTCAGTAGGACTCCGAGAAGGAACTCAGGCATATTTCGCATTCACATTTGTTTCAAGCATGTTTCATGTATTTCACATTCATCCATGAAACTTGGTGTCACAGGCATATCCTCTCCTGTTTCATTACAGTTTTCAGTAGTAGACCTCATTCACTTCATAGCGTTGCGGAGTAACCCTAAATAAACTGAGCCGTGCTTTGTCAAGATTCTACTCGCGATTGGTATAGCTAAATCCATAATTCCTGGATTATTTTGTCAAGGATTTGCGCATTAAATATAAAACTCGGTGTCGGTGTAGTGAACCCTCTGGATCCCCTCAGCCTTATACACACCAGGAACCGTATTCTAGTATTTTCTTAAGTGCGATTTCCATCTTAGCAAGGTGCTAAGCTGGTACTTGCCCCATTGAAAAGCATGATCGAGGTTGAGCAATTTGCTTTAAGTCTAAGATTTTAATAGAATACTGACCCAGGCGAGCAGGCAGGCCCTTAGTCGTGACGAGGGATCCAGCAATTAGCAGCCAAGTCTAGTCACTTATTCCAAATTTCCCTTAACGTATGCCCCCTCGACTCTTTGGAGTAGTAGGCACCTGTATTTATGTATGACCTCGAGAAACGGTTTAGTGGTAGATAATGCCCAGATGGTCGGAAAAGGATCAGGCGCATAAACTTTTCTGTCGGCTTAATGACTTAGGCCTTTTGCTGGCGAGAGCATGATGCACGCTGCCAAACCATTAGTTATCATTAGAGTTCAGGGTCGTAGCAATAAAACCGCAATTCGTCGCTAGTGAGGAGTCATTTCAAGAAGTGTCCTTCGCCCACGCGTCTCAAACTTGTCATTCACAACAACCAGATGCTAATTCTGTTGTGCATTTCCTTAGAGAGCAGCCGAGGAACCCAGTGTGCACCTACTATTGTAGCACTGAGGCCCTTTAGTAATTTCATGGGTTACTTTCAGGAGTTGATCCTAGATCCTAACTGGAAGGCAATTTGAGTTCTGCAGAACTAATTTCATCTCTAATCTCATGATTTGAAATCTTAGCCCTTCCCTACGGATAGAGCAATTGTAAACGTTGGCTTTTTTCTGGGTCCTTGTTACTTTTATTGCTGGAATGCTCTTGTTTTCTACTTTTTGACGTAACCGGGAAAATAATTCACTGTGTAGATGCGGCGGTTCCAACGCCTGCCTTATAATTCCTTCGTGCATCCGGACAAGGGAACTCGTATGAGGGATTGTGAGTCGTAGATATGCTGGAGAGAGAGAAAGAGAGAGAGAGAGAGTGAGTGAGTGTCGATGGTATCCGGGAAACCGTATGTTGGACTCGCACGGAATATGTCTCCGATCCAATCCTGATTTCCTCGTAGGTCGACACACCTGTTCCTTATCGGTTCCCCTCATGGGAACGTCATTGTATTCACTTTTCATTTTAGGTATAAAATTCAAGGAGTCGAGAATGGAAACGAGGTGGAAGGAATGGACTTCCTGCCTTGAAAGGAAAAAGATTCTGAAAAAGAGAGAGCCAATGCAGCATGTGCCTGATCTGAATTCATAATTAATGGACATCATGGATTATTTAAAGGCGATGAGCTGCACCACACCCTATGGTCTAGTTCGCAGACATTCCCATTCTGCGCCTCGCCTTAGTGAAAGAGGGAGGATAATTAGTTAAATTCATTTTAATGGACAGATAGATGGATGTACGCTTTATTGCCAAAAGTCAGGGCTCACCCATGTAAATTATGCGAAATCACTATGGGACTCGATTAGCACGTGACGGTCTGGCAACAGGGATATACGGCATGTCCATGGTCTGAAACAGCAGTTAACAGCATGATGCACGAAGGATACTTACTACGTTCTATGGGCACATGGTAGCTGAGTAGCAGTTGGCGGGGAAAGTCCGGTCTACTGCTACTTTAAGCCCTGGCCTATAGTGTGATGCGTTTTGTTATAGCACGATGGAAGACTCATGGACACGCTGGTATTCCCATTTCCTGGCCGAAACAAGTTCAGGCTATCATTCATGCCAATGGGAGGCCCCACACCAAACAGACAGGTGAGGCAATCACTATTTACTGTATTTTCATGGGTGGAACTTGACTTCTGGCGACGTAGTGAATGCTTCAAAACAACTCGAAAACTATAAAGAATTGAGGGGTGATATTTGGCATACTTTTAGTAGGCCTAGTACTGTTAGTTCTGCAACCGAACAAGTGTGAGTTTGTACGACAGTATTAATTGGTTAATACAAAATCACCGGTGAAGCCTTTTTTAGCTATTCCAAAATTGAAATTCGTGCTGTGGAATTTGGCATAGACATTGTCCCAAGAGCGAGTATGAGCAAGTAAGAGCTTCGTTTATAATGTTTGATGGTATGGCATTACCACATTACCGTATACGATTACCGCAGTACATGAGAATAAAAATGCGTTCGGAGTCTGGAGTGACTATATGCCAGTATGCTTTGCTAATTGCTTTCCTGTTTTCACTCGTCTCAACCCTTTGAGCTATTTTTTTCATAACCCTATGACAAACGTCGGGTCTGATCCGACAGGAGAGCGCAAAGCATTAAGGGGATGAAAACTCCCGTTCCTCTGGAAACTGAGCAAGGGAAGGTCTCATTTCGTGCAACTTTTTATGCTTTTCGATTCTCTCTCCCAAATGGATTCAACATGAAATCATTCTTACCTATCTCCCCTGCCGTGTTTTTCTTTCGGCGACATCTGCGTGAAATGATCATGGGATCGCCACTGGAAAGTAATTATTCTCATTATCGTTGGGGCGGCATGAGGGCGACGTGAAATAATGATAGTCTGACAACCGTGCAACTTTGATCCGTGATTATTCGTACGTGACCTGCGATGAACGCATGGAAGCTGTGCATATTTTATGACGAGGGATGGGGAGGGGCGATGGGGCATTTTTCGATATTTCAGTGGTGACAGGCACTTGATCATTCTTTTGCGTCGTTCCAGGTTACCCAACTATCTGTCTCCGTATCCGCTCCTGACGAGCCCGGGTCTCATACCGCTGTCACCAGGAACAGCGGCTGGAAACCAATTGGCGGCGGCGGCGGCCGCTGGTCAGCTCTACGACATCCCTTATTCAGCTGCGACCTCTAATGCTGCCGCAGCGGCTGCCGCAGCCGCTGCTGCCGTTTCGTCCCCATATGCTAATGGATTGGATCCATATTCATCCATCGCTGGTCTGCATATTCATTTTTTTTTTCTCTCTCTCTCGTTACTCAATCAAAAAGAGAAATGACTTATTTCTCTCTTTTCCCGGTTTGGAGCAGCATATTTGCCGGCATACTCGTACCCAGCCTTGCATGGAGCACTGACACCAGGAGGAGCAGGGGCAGGGGGTACACCCACCAACGTTGCTCCGTCGTTGTCCCTGTCCCACTACTCTGCTGCAATGGCCGCTGCTGCACAATCCCCAGATGCACGGATGTAATGATGCTCTTATGTAAAAAAAAAAAAAAAAAGGAGGAAAAAAAAAGCATCTTCACCACTGAGATTCCTAGTCAACGTCATATACTGCATACTGCTCTAGCATATCGAGAACGGAACGTGATCTTGAGAAAAAAATACCTAGGGACTTCTCTCGTGAAGAAACTTTGACTGAATGGATTATGATTTTTTATTATTATTATACAAATTTCGGGACAGAGAAGGACACTTTCGCCCGTAAAAGTATGCAAGTGAATGTTTATATGCAATGAGATGGAAACGTGCGAAAGGTTGAACAACACTGCAAGAGCCATCAGTGCCTTAGTGTGCAGTGCCCTTCTGCCCCGCCGGGAGACATCACAAGATATCTATCCGTCGCCGAGGCTTTTTGCATCATATTTTTTTACATCACCTTTTTTTCTGTTTCTATTCTTTTTTTTCTTCTCCCTCTCTTTGTAACACCCTTTCTATTCCCATGAGACTGTCTTCTCTCCATTCTTCCCTATCCCATGGATTCTGTTGGAATCGTTCACGGACCTTCTGCGCACCGAAATCTAGGGTCACGTTGCACTTGTGCCTCGTCTCTCCTTATTCCCGTGCCTCATATATTCGGTGACCTTGTCTTCGATGTTGCCTTTTTCCACCTCTCCCACCTTGGACATTGCTCAATGCCACCAGTGACAACGGCGAGAGGTGCCTAATAATTGATTCATTCTCAATGTGATACACGAACGTTAGACGTCTCTGGTGTAGACTAGACCGCCTTTCCCTCTCTTTTGTACATACCACTATTTCTTCCCTTGATTCCACGTCTCCGACTTTGATCACGTCCGTCGCATCAAAGTCCACTAATCCTCAGCTGTCGCCTGGAAAAGGTGAATTTTGGACAAGGCGCGCTTCGTTCTTTCCGAAGCGGCGCGTCATCGTCCATGGAATTACGGTCCTCAGCTGTTGCTAACCGTCGGGGAAAGGCAACATCCTTCCTTCATTACTATGCCTAGCCATTATTTATTTTGTGAAATTATATTTTGTAAATACTGTGCATCATAATGTGCTTATGAAGGGGGATGCAAGTGACACATGTTCAATGGGGGATCATGACACTATTGAAGCGCTCACCTTCTAGCTCATCTACAGCTATTCTATTATCCAAATAGATATATTAATTATGTTACCAGTTAATAAAATATTCGATACACATCCTAGGCCTCTTTCAATTCTTTCTAAAAACAAATACGAAATTTGGAGCATCTTCAGGAGTGACCTCCGAATTTGCGATGTTGGGACAGCTGTTACACTCCTCGTTGGACCTGTGTCCTGTTATAGCTCTTCAGTCCTTTCCTTGTAGTGACGTCACAGAAGAGGCCTTGTGTGCCGATGTGATCGCCGTCAAAAACAAACGGCCCCTTCGAGGGGCCGTCTATTTTTGACGTCGGTCATGATTCCGCATCTACAGCTAATGTTCAAATTGTTTGCCACCTTCTGCGAGGCAATATTCCAGGTGGTTAACGAATGCTTCTCGCACGTTGGCCAATTATTCGAATGTTGGGGAGTGGAATGCGGCGGTTATTCGGTTTTTTACTTCTTCGATTGATTTTGGTTGGGTTCGGTACTAACTGTCTTCAGATGACAGAAAGAAGTCCACCGGCGCTAAACCAGCTGATATGGGTGGCCACTCGAAAGGGCCTCTTCTTCCAATCCAATCGCCTGGATACTTCTGATCCAAGTATTCTCGCACGATTCTGGTATTCGGTACAATGGATGTTGAATTTTGAGTCGTGACCAAAAAAGTTTGGGAACCACTGGCTTACTGTATAAGTTTGGAGTCTTTCCTTTTATGCTATACCCTGTTAATCGTGTAATCTTGGTCCGCGAATATGACGTAGACCTATTTATTTTCGGACTTAGGTGGGAAAAGGACCAGCTGGAACCCCAATCCAATGACGGGTCTCCTTTTGGATTATCAGCCAGATCAATTTCGCCTTCCATCTATTGCCAGGAAGATGTCACGCATGTTTTCTCCCCAGGAGATTCAGATGGAGAGGGTTTCCAGAAGAAAATTCGCTGAAAACATGCGACTGGGTCCGACTTTCGAGTCTCACTAATACTCTCTGATCCTTCACCTTCGTCACTATTGAACCAAACGCAATCCTGTCCTGATTCACGGCCGTCACAATTACAAATTTTCGGGTAGAACTTTAGCAGAAGTGGTGGAGTTGTCGAGCTAGCGGATAGCTTCATAAGCGTGGATGGAAAAAGTGTGAGGGGGGGCCAAGGGGGAGCACCTGCCCCCCTAGGCCCCCTCGACGCTACGCTACTGGATAGTTGTGGCAGGGTTGGACCTATAGGAGTAGAAGAGGTAGCACCGTGAGCAAATTCCAATCCGGAGTCCATTTTCCTTAGCGAACTCTCACCGTACCATTCTCGCATCTCGGCCACGTCAGTCGAATAATCAGCTTAGTTAACCGCATTATTTGGCTGGATTGTGAAAGTACGCTTGATTTGACCCTGCCAAGACCAGAGTGACATAAGGCGAAACTCAAGAATCCTGAGGTGATGCTGTTTTGACTTATCGATTAGTTTTCCAGTCAGAGTGGTGTAAGTCGCTAACCACTCAGTAGGCCCCGATCTGATAAATCAGTGTTTAGAATACTCTGGCTCTACGAGAAATCATAAGGTGAAGAGGATCATAGAATGACTTGACTTCAAGTCAATCTGTTTCGGATAGGATCATTTGAGAGCAAGAAGCATAAGCAGCACGGCTCACTAGCAAAGACAGCTTATAGCGAGCAAGAAACCCCATTGAAGACTGGGTGACTCATCAGACTCAAGCCAACAACTGATCCGAGCATCCGCACGGGATGCTCACGACCATCTTAACCAGCTAACTTAACTTAGGGCCCAACAACGATATATCGTTGTTTGATCCTCGCGTGACGAGGAGGGAGGGAGGTTCTGGGCACTAAGAGAGTTAAACAACAGAGGAACTTGGTGGAGGAAAAAAAAAAAATGGTTGCAGGCAGCCAAACCAGCAGCTCAGCTGGCTGACGTGGCTGAGATAAATGGTACGGAGAATGGAAGTCTCCCCGACTCCGAGCTCGGTTGGAATCTCATGACCTTTCCTTTACTCACCTGGCATTAAGCCACTACATGCCAGGGAGATCAAGGCAGGCATCAGAAGGAAAAAAGACTTAGCTTGGAGGGATGAGAACATGCACAAAAATTAATCTGCTAAAAGCGAATACATTCAAATACTGTCTGGAATATAATCCCGAGATTACATTCAAGTGAGCAACATGCACTACATCTGGAATGGAGATTCGTTCTGAGTTAAACGAGTGTATTCAGTTCAGGGAGAGTTTACAGGAAACTTCTCCAGGATTCTGAACGCCCGAGAAGCACGTCACACAATCTTGTTCTAAACGAATTGCTTGAGGGAGAGGGTCAGCAGAATAAAAACTTTTGACAACTACACTGATGCTGGTACTCCTTTCTTATCGCGGGATGTAGGAAAAATACGACGTTGTGATCGCATGTCCCTCGGGGCAGAAAATCAGTTCTGGCTTCAGATTTACCTGTCCCTTGCAGTTGTCAGTATGTAACTTAGAAAGGAGGAACAGCAGAGGAGACCCCGTGTCGTTGGAGTTACGTAACCACAAAAAGTGACAACTGCGAAAAAGTTTCCAGGACTACAATGTTACAACTGAGATGCCTTCGAACGGATCTCATTCGTTTTCTAAAAATGTTAATTACGTGTATCAGTTTGTTGCATACCCTACATTTATGTTCCTATGGCGACAGTCATAGGTCAACCAGACAAGTAAGGGTGTTTATAAAAAGCGGACTCAAAACCATTAGTTTAAGAAACATTAATATCATACTTAAGTCAAATACTTCCATGTCCAACTGTTTCAGCAAAGGTCGATGGCATCCTCCATTAGAAACATTGGCGCCTTCGGTGCCTGTCATCGTTATATTCCAAGAGTGGCCATTGTGAAAATTTTTCAAATCGTGATGTGTATCCTCCCAGACGAAATTATTTTGATATCCAGGCAGGGCCGGATTAACCCATGGGCTATAGCCTTAGGCCCTCCATTCCATTTTTTTTGTTGCAATATGTAATTCATACTTAGGCCCCTCATAACCTTAATCCGGCCCTGTTTCCAGGCATCCTAGAAAACAACTAATGGATCTGGGGGCAGCCAATGAACGCCACCATGCTTAAAAGAAAAGTGTCGTTCGTAGAATGGAGACTTTCCTATAAGGACTGTATAGACGTCCGACCTATCTCTGCGAATTGTTGAACTAAAGGGGGATATAAACAGTACATGTGCTAAAGACAGGTTCTAATGAAAGTTTCCCAGGACCATGACCATGCTCTGTCCTTCAGCAGCGAAGGAGTCTGATGACTGCCCTTTTGGACAAGATATTAGCCAGCTTTTTCCCTTGGCAATATATTGCATATACTCTTCAAAATAACAGAACAATAATCACTTTTATTGGCTGCCAATCACAATCTCATTGTAACATCAAAGGCAAGCAAAGGCTAAAATACATAACATGGAAGGCATTACAACACTTTCTTAATTACATTTCAATAGCCATAAATAATTTGAATCTAATTCCAATTTCTGCAAGCATCTTCTGGTTATCACTTCATAAAGCACATAGTTAACCCCTCTAGAGGGTTTGACACACATCCCATTATGAAAGAGACCATATGAATTCAAATGTCTTGTTCTTCTTGAGATCATTTCAAGTGCAGAATGAGAGCTCATGATAAGATCTGGATGGATGGGAATGCCCAACATACCTGTGAACTTGAACAAAATCATGCAGAATGGGTACCACTACTGGACAGCAGGGCCTCTTTTACAATGGGTTCTGTTTGTCTTGACATGAGCAAAGGTGAGGATAAGTAAGTATCAAAGTCAGAAGCCATTTCTCCATTCAACTGAGGGCAGGATGCTGACATAACCAAACGTCCAGATATCAAGCTTCCAACTGCCTCTGAATCATAGACTGAGTCGGAGCCAGACATCAAGTCCATCACATATGGCAGTGGGACAATATACTTCTTTAAGACCTCAACAGAAGCTGCGTCAGTGCATACTGCATCTTCAGCATGTGACTGGTTGTTTATGATGTTCAATATGGGTTCACCCAAGAAGTCTTCCAAAACCTCCACAGGAACATTGCAAGGGTCAAAATATGGAGAGGGCCCAGAAGTTTTGAAATATGAGAAAGAAGTTTTAGTACAATTTGAAGAAATCAAAGAAACTTTTTGAGGATACACATGTTTGGAAACCTCATCACCGGCTTGGGATACAGCACCTCCTGATGCAACCAACTGGTTCTGCTGAATAACTGGAAAGTTTGTCATGGATTCTGTCATTTGTTGCTTATCATTTGTTCGGGAAATTGCACTGACTGACCCAGTCTGAGGTTCTAGGCCATCCACTTGAGAAATTATTGAAAGGCTCATCAAACTTATTCCCATCATTGGCTCCTCATCAGGAGCCTGAAACATGGCAGTCTTTGTGTCAGTCAGAGGTACAGGGATCATGTCAGGTTGCTGGCTTTGGTGGCAGTGAACTGTCCTTCCAGATGTCTGAGTTACATAATTAGCAAGTATTTTATCTGAATCTATTGCTTCATGACATGAAGACTGATTTTGTCTTTTTTCTGGGGATTTATAACTCATAAACACTGGGCAAAGCTCCTGAATATCGCCACTCTGGCCATTCTTGCTTTTCATCCCATTGGCTTCATGCATTTCCTGAACAGTACCACAATCACCATTAGGCATCATAGGCTTCTCTGATTCAGTCAGCTTCTGGTAATCGTGCTGAAAAATGAAAGAAACACACGCACACTGTCATTCTTGGTAAATACATTGGTGTTGCATTGGTTAGTCCAAAAAAGTGTTTTGACTCATGTATACAATGTATGAGCCCAAGTTCATAATCTCTGACTGCATGGAATTTTGGCCCACACAACAGACTGCACTTTGGTTGGGTACTTTGACTCAATGTTTTGCTGAGACAAAGAGGCTGACAGCTGACATTACATTTATCATGGGGAAAATTACTTATCCTCCAACTAATAAGATCAGAAAACATATCTCCTTCAGAAAGGGGACAAAACTGGCCAAGCAGGATGTTCTTGAAATGGGAACAGGTTTACACCAGTCCCCTCAAGGTGACCTCTGCTTAGCTCTAGCTTATTAGAAAAAGGAAATCTTAGCCACAAAAGGATACTTTTTTTCTCAGCAGACACTAAATTAAGGAGTGGGAAGACACACCCTCATTCAATAAGAGCTAATAATGCAACATTTAACTGTTACTTGATATGCAGTCAAACACACAGCATTGAGCAGGCTTCAATTTCCATCCAGGCTGCTGTATTTCCCTTATTTCCCTAACATCCATATCCAATTCTCACAAGATAGTTGACCCATGTGAACTTGTGCACTAACACATCATGTGGATAGGGAATTGAGTGCTTTTACACTGATGGAACCTAACAAGAAACCAGTAAAAACTTATGATGAATAGTTTGTCTAACCAAAAAATTGAACATTTGGATCTCAACATCTCTGAATGCATCTGGAGGGATATTTCACTTTTCAAGAAGGCTATGATTCACACATTTCAGTATATTAAGTACATAATACCACATGGAATTAGATCATTAAATGGTCACAAAAAAAGGAACGAGAATATGTTTCCAAGATCATATGAACTGCAACATTGCATTAACTAAGTAAAGGAGAGGAAACATGATTGGAAAGCAGTAGTGGCTCACAAGAAGGCTGGAGATCTGCTCAACAGCAGCTGAAACATCAGATACCAGTGTAGGAGGAGAGACCCCAAGCTGATCAAACAGTTGCAAAGCTTCTGGTGTGTGACTCAAGGGTCGGTTCTGAAACACATGTCTATTTTGTAGAAACCCATTCCTATGTAAAAGTATATCTTAGCACAACAGAACAAAGCACAGCACAACAGTATGGAGGTCAAACACTTTAGGGCCACAATGCCATTATGCAAGGGACTCTCCATGCCATATAGGAAATTAAAAAACCTATGGGTACTACCATAGCCAAGAAACTTAAAAAAATTGTCCAGAGTTTTAGGATCAAATGATGAAGCCTCTATTAGTTAATAGTCCTTTGAGAATACATGAACTCCTATTGGGGAAAAAGGGCTCCTTTATCTTACCTAAATGAGGTGTGTGCATTAGGGCCTTAGTTACAGACTACCTCAACAAACACTGAATTTAACCCCTCCCAATATTGGAATTTCGTGAGACTCTGAAATAGTGCCATAAATAAGTTCATCCTAGCAGCTTCCTAATGAAATAAATCTGGTTCATTTTCAAGGTGCCATGCATTGGCAAAGACAGGACTGTAAGCCTGTATCCCTATATAGGTAATGTATGGATTACCTTTATGGAAACTCTCCTTTCTTGCCGAGATTTCTTGCGTGCCTTCACCACAACAGGAGAGTACTTCACATCTTCTTCAGTGTCAGCCTTCCGTCCTTTAAGCAACTGAAAACCTGAATCCTGGCTCACAGACAGCCTCAGTGGTGGGTGGGCATCTGAAAAACGATAAGATTTTAAAATGCCAACTTCTGGTAGAAAAGGATAGCAAGTAAGAGATTTCATACTCTTCAATTACTTTACTTTTTATCTAGGTAAAATGAAGTCTGACAGTTTGATCTGAGATTCATGAGACAATTAAGATAGGTTCAAAGAGCCTGTTCTACATTCCACACACATGAGGGAAAGGAACTACAAGAAGGTAAGGAGATGAGGATAGGAAGGAGGAAATGATACATACACTATTTCACAGAATACATTATTTCCCAGGTATCAGAGGCATTGATGGTAAGAAATAAGAGAAGCTTCTCAAGCCTTGCTACGATTGAAGTAAATGAAATCATACTATGTTCATAGGTTTTCAATTGAGGCAGATTCTCTATATCTTACTTCTTCCTATAATGACACTACAACAGCCTCCCATGGTGAGTCCACCTTGTGATTAGAGTCTTTGCTTGAAGGACTTTCTCATCCTCTAGAAATTTCCATAGGCAGCAACACAATCTCTATGCATTTTTTTCTGTCATGTGCTCATCCAACCTCAATTTTGAATGTATCAGAGTACAGAGATAAAGCAGATGAGTAACATGTACAAAAAGGTCATATAATGGTTTATCATATAAAAGTCAGCATACCATAAAATAGGGTGAATCCTTATTACAATGAGACCCTGATGGCAAAGAAAGTTGTAAGCTAATACAGGGTGTCCCACTTGAATGCAGCCTGGCAAGTGATTTTGTACTGTTTCCTGTTGGAGGCTGTCTTTTGCCATAGTTGCAACAGTTTGTTGTGGTACCATGGGAGAGGCTTAAAGATGCATGAGGTCATGACACATGTGATGTCAGGTTGGGTGGCATGGGACAGTCAAGCTGCAAAAGCTTCCAGAACAGTAAAGTTTCTTGAAGTAAGCAGTCAGTGTTGTGAGCAATGTGGTTTTCTTCACATCAGCAGATATTTATGGTTGAAAGTTACTTGGAAAGCAAATCTTACAAGGTTTGTTTTGAAAAGTTTGTGGAGAAGTATCTCGACATGAAACCTTGACAGTGATTTCGCAGGTGGTCATTCATAAGCCTTTCAAAATTCTGTGGCATGTCATTCTCCAAACCCCAGACCTTTGAGACAATCATCATATATACTAATGGGGGCAAGGCTGTCCTCAATTCTGATGTCACTTACAATTTCCTCATTCCACACAGTTTGAACAACAAATCTTACAAGATTTGCTTTCAAAGTAACTTTCAAGAATAAGGGCGTGAAGTCGGGCACTGACTGCTTACTTCAAGAAACACAAACATGTACTGTTCTGGAAGCTTTTGCAGCTCAACTGATCCATACCACCCAACCTGACACCACATGCATCATGACCACATGTGTCTTTAAGCCTCTCCTGTAGTACTACAACAAACTATTACAACTATGGCAAAAGACAGCCTCCAACAGGAAACAATACAGAATTACTTGGTGGGCTACTTTCAAGTGGGACATACTGTAGCATCACAGGTATGGCTCCAAAACTGTAATGCCACAAAAGGTATTACCCTGTGACTTCATCAAGTACATTGGGCTTCACAAATTAACACATACTGTTTTATTATGAGAACCTAACCCTTTTTTCCCCCCTTTTTTGTTTCCATTCACCCAACAGTCATTCACCAATTTTACAATACAGAATATAAAATAAGAGAACAGAAAAGGGAACCAATTCTATAGGCCAAAATAGGTTTCTTGAGTACCACTGGTGGGTACAGAAAAAGCCACACTGCATTTCAATGCCCAGTTGCATGGGATGCCACTTCTTACTTTTTTTTAGCATAAATTGCTGGGGTAACACTAAGTTGCCTAACCAATAACCTAAGCTGACAAACCTAATAGTAGGCTATCAATACTGAATTCCTTGCTTAGTAAAAGTATTTTAAACATAATCATATGCTCAGTATCTCATATTAATGCTTTTACATTCATTCTGGTTTGCCTGGCAGAATCCATTACGATAAGCATGACCACCCATTTCAAGTGAAAAGGGAACCTATTGCCATTCTTGAAAGTGAGTTTTGCTGCAAATGAGTAAAAATCTCAGGCAGAGGACACACATCCAGTTCATTTTATCCGGCCTGCAAAATCCTCTTCAACAGTTGGTTCGGGAAAGTACTGCAAATTTCAGCCTGTTTGCAATAAAGATTTGGTGTTAGATTTTCATTGTGCCCCCTAAGGTCCCCTATCAACCCTGAAGGCTTCCATCCGCCCCCAGCGTAATCGAGTTCGACACCCCTGCGAACCCCCTCCTCCTTCACAGCCTTCCGCGCATCCTTCTCTTCCCTCTCCGATTTCTTTCGGAAATCCTCTTTCGATTTCGTAATATAAAGAAGAAAATGACAGCATAATATATTTTTTAATGATGAAAATGGCATTTTTCCTAGAATTCACGGTCGAAGATCAGACCCTTTGACCGTTGATCTTTCTTTTCATTGAAACTCCATGAATCACATATCATTTAAAAGGGCGTGAAGAGAACTTTAAAATGACACTGCTTTCGGCTCTTTACGTTAACTAGAGCAATACTTCAGGGGCATTTAAGTGATAATGACTTGACCGAACATTTGTCATTTTTCGGAATGTTCAAATCGCTTTACCTCATAAAATACAAGGGCTGTCACGATAAATCGATGCATCGATACCACTATCGATGGTTGGAGGTATCGATATTTTTTTCGACCCTCGTGATGTATCGGCAAAATACTTGAAAGGGGAAATGGATTGAGGCGAGTACAGTACAATACAATCCGTCCGCGCGGGGAAAGGGAGAGGCAGCGTGACCCGCATGGACTTGCAATTTCTTACCACGATCAAACTCCGGAAATGTTGGGACTGACTATATGAAAGACGGGAAGGAAAAAAACCCATGTTGGATCGGAGACAGGCAGTGGGAAAGGAGATGGAGGGAAGATTGAGAAATTTTTTCTCTTCTGTTTCAGTCTTCGGCTCGATCTCATCAGGTGCATGGTGAGAAAGTGGAATGCTATTATGCTCCCTTAATTTCGAAACGTACATTAGTTAACCCCCCTCTCTATATTCCTGAATTTTTTGTAGTATGCAGGCTCAAGCCTTTTTAAAAATTATTTTAACTTGCCCTGGAGCATTTTGTCTCTTTATGTAAGGTGAATCCAAAGTGAATTTTTTGCATGGACATTGCTTCTAGGGCTGTAGGGATGTTTCGGCAACTGCCGGTATGGCACCATCGGCAGGTTTACTATCTGCCAGTGCCGAAGTCCAAAGACGATAGCGTGGAACGAAGAATAAGAATTACGTGGCAACTGATTCTCAACGGCAAGAAGCAAAAAATAGGGCTGTCCTGATGCATCCATCGATGAGTGGATGTTATCTACGATAGTTAGAGGCATGGTAGGTTTCATTACTCGTTACCTTCCCCAAAGCACCCCCGACCACAAGCGTGAGATTATGGTATACGGATAGAGGTCCGCGCCTCGATCGAGGCAAGAAACGATGGAAGTCAAACCTCCGCCCGATCGCGGCGAGAAAAGATTGAATCCTCCGACCCCCCCCCTCCCGATGCATCGATGTCTTGAAAACTGCTTTCATGACAGCCCTAGAAAATACCTGATCTAGAGAGCTGCAATTTGGTATGGAATAGTTTTTCAATAGTTTTTATCACGAATGTGCTCAAAATTTCATAAAAATTGGAGGGGGTCAGGTTTTTGACTGCATTGATTTGACCATACAGCAAAAGGGGTGGGGGTGGGGGTAGGAACAAAGCCGCATGCCGCAGTTTGGAGGGTGTGGGGAAGACGACAGCTTTCCCCTATGGCCGGTGTCACCAGCCGACGAAAACCTCATTTTTCTGGGCCGCCGGCCGACCAACATGACATTCGCGTTGTCTGATAAGCAGTGATAACTTGACTGAAGAACGCTAAACGATAGGGAAGAACAGTGTATCATGCTGATTTCTTCTGGATACTTCGTATTAGTGCAGGAAAATTAATTATCAAGTACATGGTGAAAGTTGGGTGAGGGTCTCGCGGGCTCCCCGAGGCGTAACGTTTAGGCCTACCTCTCTTCACGTTGGAACTTCTCTCCACAAACATGCTGTCTTTTTTGACGTCACACGAATTAGTACCAATGAGATCGTCATTTGTTGTAATGGGCAGGAAATAGATTTCAGACGTTATAGACAAAACGTTTTTTAGTGGCCGGCCACCCCAAAACCCGCATGCCCGACCGGCGGTAATTTACTGTAGGATACCTCTGAATCAGCAAGCAAGATTGGTTCCCATTTAAATGAAAGATCAGTCAGACTTTTCAGTGAGAGCCACTGCGAAAACCTGCACAAAAGTTTTATGCAAAGAATAGTGCAACAAAATTGTAGAGTGAGCAACACACAAGGACTGTTTTCATGATGGCCTCTGCTCATCGAGTTCTTAAGAAAACAAGAATGGACTGGATTGGATTCAATTCGACAAATAGGGGTGTCAATGAGCATAAAGGCATTCTATAATGAAGAGTAGAAAGAAGACAATATGTTAACTAAAGTAACATCAGAAGTATTTGCAGCAGACTTTTTTCTAGTCTGTATTTCCACTTTGTTACGCCTGTTTTAATAATGCCTTTAAGTGGGGAAAAGGGGTAAAACCCTCCACCCCTTGATACAGTATTTTGATTAGGTTTTCTCTGAGCACTGCCACAAAATTCACTTGCTCTAAAGGTAACTCTTGAGAAGCAGAAATAGGGTAAAGGAACCAAGTTCAGGAATTGGCACCTATTTGTGGACCAGTTTGTGTTTTCTGTCATCCAAAGAAAGACACCCAGGAACTTTATAATCTTAACTGCTCCATGTTATGAGCATGTTGGTTGGCCACCATATAAATTATGCATGCCTGCATGAGTCAACTTAGGCATTTTTGCCTTGTTTTAGATGTAGCACCCCTGAATTCCTTATAATATGCCTAGTGACTTTTCTTAACAGATGTGAACCCTTTCCAATGTTGATTGTTGCACAAGAATTGATGGGGGCCTTGAGTATGAAGTTCGGAAATGTTGCTAGAAGTTCCTGGAGCCAGGTTCACAAATAGAAACAGCATGAAAATCCACATATAGTCATTAAAAAACTAATTGTTGGAAAATTATGCAATCAATACTCAATTTTAGAGTATGGATTTATAACTATGATACATGACCTAATGTTGAAACCAAGAAGCATTTCTCCGGTGGCTCCAATGACCATAGTATCCAAGATAAAAATTTCCTTAACTCATCCATGAACTGGTACTTTTACCATATGTTATTGTTAGGCTTGCATCTTGAGAGATACTTTTTAAAATAGAAGTTGATTCAACTTGATCTAGGCAGTCCGTGTCTTTATCTTTGCTTGCACTATAAACAATAGCTTATTAATTATGCAGGAATACATCTACTTACTCAAGTAATGGAAAATAAGCTTACCATGGTAAATAATATTTCAGACTGAATGCAATAGAAAGGATTAAGTCAGAAAAATGTTATTACCATTTGGACACAAGAGGAGTGAGCCAGATGCACTGCCTGAAGCATTAACATCAAACTTCCCAAGGTAGGATAGAAGCGTTTTACAAAAGCCCCTTTCTTTCTCATAGGGCTCAGGGATTGCCACATCTTCATACTGACACCTAGAAGTTAAATCAGACCATGGTGAGTGCTTCAGACAAAAATATATACCTAAAAAGTTTTGCAAAGTGCAAAGGTATCATACTTCTGATGTCTGGCTTGGATTTGAGCCTGTTGCTTCTGTCTTCGTTCTTTCCTTCGTTCCCTCCTGTACTGTTGGTATAAGACATAAGCTCTGTGAAACTCCTCAGCAATGGATTTTTTCTCTGAGTATAGGGCATTCAATTCTGCAAAGTATCCAAAGGGGAAATCAATGAAATGACCTGTTTAAATGCATGCACAAAGAAGCAGGATGATTAAATGCGAAGTGCTGATGAAAAGAACCAGGGGTCATCATCATAGACACCCACTATATGAGACAAAATAACCAGCAAGTCTTATTTGAACATCATGGCTAGAAAAGAAATTCTTCCAGTTGTGTCCTCTTCTAGCCATCATGAAGCCTCAAAGTTAAGACCCCTTACGTTTTCTTTGCATGTCTCCTTTACATGGTAAATATGCATTGAATCATACTTTTTTGAAAATGGCATCCTAGACATATTTTCCAGTTACAGTTTCTGAATTCATAAAATCAGTGATCAGTGAAATCAGAAACTCAGGTGGTAGAACTTCTTCACACCTTTGGCAAGTATATTTATAAAGAGCCATCCGTCCAATAAATGATAGAGGTAAAAAAAAGAAAAAGCTTTCATATCCCCCCAAAATATACTAAGATTTAAAGTGGCAACAGACCTTACAAATTTGCAGATTTATATTTGCACTATTTATAGTAAAGAAACATACCAGTAGCTGTAATAGCTATTCCAGTCGTGCTCTAAAGAATGCAGCCATTAACCCTTTGAGCCCTCAGTTCCTGAGCAGTTTTGAGCCTTCTGCCTGAGCTCCTGGGCCAAAATTTGCTAATAATGGGTATACAATGTTTGTGCAAATATTATAGTTGTAATAAAAGAGATGAGATTGATGCTTTGCATGCAAATAGCAGGATGACGTACCTTCATTTTAACGCCAGAATTCTTTCTTTGTGGGGCAATCAGCCCAGCAGGTGCTGCCTCTCTTGCAGGTAAAAATAGGTTTAAACCAATCGCAAAACGCAACGCAAGTGTTACACACCGCTTCACCGGTGGCTAGGCAATACGTCATTTCTCTCTACCACCGGTAAAGCGGTAGTGAGGGCTCAAAGGGTTAATTTATTCACAAGACTGAACCTATATTCTGTACTATTTACTCTATCAAGAGCAGGGCATAAGGTGCAGTTAAAATCATCAACATCCTTCGCCTTCGCAGTGTCGCGGAAATTCTCGTTGCCTTAGTCGTCTTTTCTGCATAATGCGATGGAGGTGGTGAATGGAGAATTTCTACTGCAATGCTTTTGCTTTTCGACATTGCGTTGGTATTTTCTCCATCCAGTCTACTTCGCAGTTTCGCGGAAATTCATGTTCACGTAGTCGTCTTTTCCGTATCACACGATGGAAGTGAGAAATGGCAATTTTCTTATGCAGGGGGTCTTTCTCTTTTCATGTTTCCACGGGTTGATCGCGATTCTACCGATTTCGCAGTTTAACGGAAATTCTAGGTGCCTTCTTCGTCTTTTCTGCATAATGCGATGGAGGTGAGAAATGGCAATTTTCTGTTCCAGTGCTGTTTGCTTTTTGAGAATGCGTTGGTATTTTCTCCATCCAGTCTACTTCGCAGTTTCGCGGAAATTCTCGGTGTCAATTTTTCAATTTCGCGGTCAATTTCGCGGATGGTCGCCTTTTCTGCATAATGCGATAGAGGTGGTGAATGGAGAATTTCTATTCCATTGCTGTTTGCTTTATGATATTGTTTAGGTATTTTCGCCATCCAGTCGACATCGCAGTGTCGCGGAAATTCTCGGTGCCTTAGTCGTCTTTTCTGCATAATGCGATGGAGGTGAGAAATGGCGATTTTCTGTTTCAGTGCTGTTTGCTTTTTAACAATGCGTTGGTATTTTCTCCATCCAGTGGACTTCGCAGTGTCGCGGAAATTCTCAGTGCCTTAGTCGCCTTTTCTGCATAATGCGATGGAGGTGGTGAATGGAGAATTTACACTGCAATGCTTTTTGCTTTTTGACATTAGGTATTTTCGCCATCCAGTCGACTTCGCAGTTTCGCGGAAATTCATGTTCTCTTAGTAGTCTTTTCTGAAACACTCGATGGAAGTGAGAAATGTCAATTTTCTTATGCAGGGCCTTTCTCTTTTCATGTTTTCAGGGGTTGATCGCGATTCTAACGATTTCGCAGTTTCGCGGAAATTCTCGGTGCCTTAGTCGTCTTTCTGCATTATGCGGTGGAGGTGGTAAATTGAGAATTTCTACTGCGATGCTTTTGCTTTTTGACATTGCGTCGGTATTTTCGCCATCCAGTCGACTTCGCAGTTTCGCGGAAATTTTCCGTGCCTTAGTCTTTTCCACATCATATGATGGGAGTCTATTTTTAGCTTTAGATCGTTTCACTGAATCACATTAAAGTTGATTTTTCAGGTTCCGAGGAATTTTGCACCTTCGCGTAAATTTCCGGTGGCTTAAGCGTCTTTTCTGCATTATGCGATGGAGGTGGTGAATAGAGAATTTCTACTGCACTGCTTTTTGACATTGCTTAGGTTTTTTTGCCATCCAGTCGACTTCGCAGTTTCGCGGAAATTCTCAGTGTCTTAGTCTACTTTTAAATATCATATGATGGAAGTAGGATATGTCGATTTTCAGCTCCTGATCATTTCGCTGTATTATATTAAAATTAATTCGTTGGGTTCGGAAGGATATGGCAGTTTCGCGGAATTTTCCGATGCCCTAGTCGTCTTTTCCGCATCATATGAAGGAAGTGAGAAATGGAGAATTTCTGTTGCAGTACCTTTTACTTTTGACATCTCCTTGGTATTTTCGGACTCCGGTCGATTTCGCAATTTCTCTTAAATTCATAGTCTCTTAGTCGTCTTTTCCGTATCACACGAAGGATGTGAGAAATGGCGATTTTCTAATGCAGGGTCTTTTTCTTTTCATATTGCCACGCGTTGATCGCGATTCTGAAGATTTCGCAGTTAATGTGATGGAGTTGGTGAATGGAGAATTTATGTTGGAATGGTTTTTGCATGGGCGTCCTATCTCAGACGTGATCTCCGCCGTTGTTCAGGCACCTATCCCACTGTGATGTAAGCCTTTGCTTTGAGCCCCTTTGAGGTCATCGAATATATGTTGAAGTCGTAGGGCGAGAGGTTGTGGCTGTTTGCAGGGTGCTTCAGCGTCTCCCAGCCTAACCGGTTCAATAATTCTTCGTAGCGTTGGCTGTAAGTGGGCGGCATTGTCATGGAGTCGGATTATGCCTAGTGACAATTTTCCCAACTTTTAGAACGATACTGTAACGTAATGTCGCTACGGTGTCGCAATAGCGCAAGACAATAATGGTTGCGCTATGCCCCAAGAACTTCACCTGGACAGGGCCCTTGTGGTTGCCCTCACCGAACGTTTTACATCAATGAGTCACGCTGGCGAAGGACAAACAGTACTGTCCATATATTTCTCGCATTCTACGATGCATTGCTATTGCAATAACACCTTCTGCGGTCAAAAAGTTGATCACTCCACGTTGCACCTCCTTGGACACTCCTGCACTTTGTCGATGATATGGCATGCTTGGTCCAATGAAGATCGGCTATCTGGGTAATAATTATTTTCTATTTCTTTCCAGGTAAATGATGGCTGCAAAATTAATAAAAGACGAGAGGGTGGAGTTGGTTTTAACCCTTTCGCTGCGAAGGGAGATTTCAGTCGCCCCAATTCTATTGTTTCTTCAAAATTCACGCCGCGAAAAGGTTACAGTATATGTGGAAGGCCAGGCACTTCAAATCGATCAATGGCTAACAATTCGAACATTTAATTAGTGTACCCTAGGGTACGCGGCTTTTGGACCACCCTGTGTATTTATAAGCCATTTATTGATCCTCGCCGGAATTCGGGTACAAGATTGACCTGTGCATTTAAAGCTGAAGTTGATGTCTCAATTTGTGATGAAACTTGAAGAATCTATGACGATGCGCACGTCAAAAGTCTACGAAAGGAGTCGTTCACGAATGGGGATAGGAAAATGTTACCATGTAGCTTTAACGAAAGAGATGAATACCCGTCAACAACAAGGAGATTAGTTAACTGCTTATTCCTTAATTAACAGCAACGATAATTAGCTATATTTGTTTAGCTTCGACGAAACTCAGGCTTGGTTTGACTAGGCCATTTTCCCTTCCTGGCATACAGCTTCTTAAGTCCATCCTGCCTGTTCCCTTACGAAGTTCCACTGCTCCGGGTTGAATTCAGAATTTGGGAATTCTCTGGGAAAAAGGTGTTATGTGCAAAAGACACAATTCGAGATGAACGGCAAAAACTTCCCATTGCTAATCTGCAGCTGGTCAAAACTCATTTTTCAGTGAAATGGTATCTTGGACCTTTCTCCAATTGAGTTTCTGGTTTCAACGAATTCCTTTACCTCACATTGCTGGGATGCAGGCAGAAACTGTTTATGCACACACGCCCTTTTTCCATATGAAAAAGGGAACTTTCTGAAGGGGAAGGGGGAACTTTCTGAAAGGGAACGGATGGAACTTTCTCCAGCCAGCCTTTTGCCACTTCTTACCAGTTAGTTATAAATCATAATTTAGCAATAAATATATCTACAAACTTCACATCAGCTCTTCCTCAAAGAATGACAATAAAAATGGGAATATTCAGGACAAGTTTCATCAACCAATTACTCCTCGGTGATCTATTTTAATTTATTCATCATCTGAATCTCCAACTATTTCATGGATATTGCCAACTTCTTGCATCCTTTCAGAGGCTTGGATGACTGGGCCTCTTATTCCCCCTTTCTTGTCTGGTTTCTTTATCAATTTTCAGTTGGAAAGAATGGAATTATTCCACCAAAATCATTCAGTGATGCAGGTACTAATGGAATATTTGTGGAGGCAGCCATATTGAAATTGTGAGGCAGTGGGCCTGCCATAAATTGAAAACATAAAATATGCTTCTCCTTTGCTGAATATGCATCTTAACTAACTACTGATCACTCTGGATCTGGAGGCGCACGGGATCCAGGGTAGGACGTGCGAGTGGATCGGTAGCTGGTTGGCAGGACGAGAGCAACTGGTGATGATAAATGGGGAAGCGTCAAGGAGGTCGGAGTCGCGAGCGGTGTCCCTCAAGTCTCGGTCCTTGGACCGCTTCTGTTTTTGGTCTACATAAATGATTTGGATCTCGGCGTAGAGGGTAAGATAAGTAAGTTTGCCGACGACACCAAGATAGGTTTTACTATAAGGGGGGAGGCGAATAGGGCT